AAGCCCTCTAGCAAGTAAGTAAAATAATTTAGTAAGCAATTATCACTAGCTACAAATATTCTTAGATACAGATATGTTCTTATGTTTTCTGTACATGTTGCAAGGATCGACATTTTTGCTAAGTGTTTGTTTGTATGAGTGTATGATCTTGCACTTTGCAGCAATTTTTTGACAGTCATGTTTAGCACTGCTCTTTTACATCCTTTTTCCACCACATTTGGCATTTGGCAACGCATGTGCGCCAGCAAAAGGGAATCGTGGTAAATAGTCGTATGCGGCTGCGCTGTTTCCTTTTGTTGTGAAGGGCGATCGAGTGCGATCGATTAGAAAGGGAAATACGAATAAATAAAGGATAGGGCAAAAATAATAACATAAGACGAATCCCTGTTCGAAATTGCTTTGTTCCTAAAGACAGGGTCGTGCGGACACAGAAGATTATTGGCTCAGATTTACAATAATGGACCATTTCCTATTTCATTCAAAGTGTAGCGAATTTTTTAATGACATTCGCAAAGCGGGGGTACTGTTTATGAATTTAGGCAACGATTTTGGGTTGCTGTGCCCAAGCGCGTGAATCAAATCAAAAAACTTTTACACACACTTTTAGACAACAGTTCACGCTTTATTATAAAAATTTAATTTACTAAATCTGTGCACTAATTTAACAATAATGTCGGTTGGAAATATGGTATTTGTTGCAAATTTTTGTTATAAATTTGTATATACATTTTTATATACAAGATATTTTTATAAAACACCCAGTAACCAAAATAGACATCACTGGGGCGGCAGCCCCAGGTTTACCACACAGAAAGGAAATTCTAGTAACCTCATCCTTTCCCAAGGTTACATCAGTGGGGCGGTAGACCCATTTATGTATGTCACATAGAAAGGAGAATTCTACGTAGGCCGTCTACGCAGAAAGGTGTTCTCTGCAAAAGGTGTTCAGCCGCCCTTCTTCAGTTTGGTGGGCCACGCCCCCTCCCCTCCGCCCCCACCCCTAAATCGTTGTACAAATAGCCAAAGATTTCGCAAAAATTTTGCTTCTTCACTGTTTCCGTTTTCAGTTTGTTTTTCGACATTTTCCACCATTGATCCAAAAAAATTTAATAGATATAGCTACAAATGTAGCTTTAAAATTATAAAGTTTTCATTTCAACAACCAAGGCAAGGCCGTTAATATTACTCACCATTTATTTATTTATTGAAACTGTCTTTTTTTGTATCATGAATAGCTACGATAAAACAGGATACGAGAAGTGTAAGAAGCAGCGAATTTTTAAATTTCAGCAAAAAATGCTGTAAAGACCGTTGTAAAAAGGTCAATAAATTTCTTATAAAATATTTTGATTTTTGCTGGGTAAGCAGTGCGCGCAGTGATTAAGTTTTTATTTAAAGGAAATGAAGAAGTACTCATCTATTTATAAAAATGCATTTTCTTCTGTAAATAAATATTTATGCATGTAAATATCAAAAATTACTGTTTTCCCAGAAGAGCGCGCCGCATTTCTTATCGCAAATTCGAATATATCTATATATCGCACACTGTCTTCAAAAGAGTCACAACTCAAAATAATACGTTGTCTTAGCACATGATAATCATATGGGCAAGGGCGACTTTACCTTAGGTTTTTTTAACAAATGATAACAAAAATACGCTCCAGCTTTTGCTGAAAGGTAAATAAAAGCTTTGCGTGCATTTTTGGCGCATAATCTCAAAAATGTAAAATTTTGAGTTGTGACTTTTTTGAAGACGGTGTGCGATATGTATACTTACATATGTATAGTGTGTACAGTTATGTTTCTATTAATAGCAGTGCCAGTAGCTGTAGACTTTCAAATTTATAGAAATTTCTTTTGTTGTTGTTGTTGTAGCGGCTACAACAACCCCGCCCAGATCGGTTGGTATCTCAGTCGTTGTCGTCAAGTTCCACTAACGGCAACCCTAGGAAGCGTGCAGCTTCTGTGGGATCTGTCCACAGGGACAGGGCCGTTAGGGTTGTCGGGTTTTCCGGGCATTCGAAGAGATGGTTCGAGTCATGTGGGGTCTCTCCGCATGCCGGACATTCGTTCGGCACATCCTCATTCAGCCTACTCAAGTAGGAGTTTAACCTGCTTCAGTAGCCGGAGCGAAGTTGAGCAAGTGTAGTGCGTGTCTCCCGAGGCAGATGAAGCTCTGTCTCGTCAATGTCCGGGGGTGGTATGCCTAGAACGGCATTCACAGGTCTAGAGTCTACATAACTCGAGACTGAGTCCCTGTGAATGCCGTTCAGGGCCTGTCTGTACGCTGTCGGGTCCAGAGGTAGCTTAATGAACCTCTGGACTTCGTCCGTCAGTTCATATAGATGCCTCCTGACGTGCCTAGGCGAGGGCTCCTCTGCAAGCAGCTGTCTGTTTGGGTGGCCACTTCTGTGGCTCCCGATCAGGAACTGCTTGCAGAGCATTATGTTGTGCTCCTTAACTGGGAGCATTTGCGCCTCGCCGTGCAAGTGATGTTCTGGCGACATCAGGAGGCAT